GAGGCGGGAGGGGGAAAGTAAAAAGGGTGGGAAGAGCCGAAAGAGAGAAGGAAGGGGAGGGGGTCTGGAGCAAAAAGGAAAAAAAGAGAGATATCGGGAGAGGGAGGGAAAATCAGGAAGGGGGGGGAAATAAGAAAAGGGAGTAACTCACACAGTTGACACGTTGTGAGTGAAGACATACACCCACACACACATGCAAGTTTGGATTCATACATTTAGTTATATATTTTTATATATTCTTGGCGTCTGCCCGCCGCCACCGCGTGGCGCGTGTGCCTGTCTGCGGGGGACTCCGCAGGGGCCCCCACTTTGCCCCAATGCGCCTCCCCGCAGTTGAGCCGCATGCTCGCTTCACTGCCTTTTTTTTTCTTGTTTCTATTGTTGTTGTTGTTTTTGTCTTGCCTCGTCGAAGCCCTGTGTTGGTTGGCTCCCCACCGCCACCTTCATCTCCACCTCCACGCACGCACGCACGCGCGCCTCTGTAGGTCTGCCTTGTAGAGCTTCACCCCTCCCGCCTTCACTGCGAGGATGCCGGCGGCGGCGGCGGCGCTGCTGCCAACTCTCCTGCTGTTTCTGCTGGCGCCGGTGGCGCTCGCGGGGGCGGTGGTGGTTGCGCGTGGGGGTTTTATTCGCCTCGCCGTGGGAGCCCTCATCGTGGCGCTGCTGCTCTCCGTCGTGCTCTCGTCGTGCGCCGTCACGCTGCTGGAGGCCTCGAGCGGGTTTCCAGCGGATGTGACGTCTGTCGTGTTTCTGCGTGGCGCGTTGGCCGCGGTGGCGCAGCCAACCGTCGCGGGTATTGCCCTGCTCGCCATGCTGGTGCTTCTCGCCTTGAGCACCGCCCGCGTGTGCGGGCTGGTGGAGGACATCCAAATCCTGCTGGAGGCACACAAGGGCGTGGCCGAGGCAGAGAAGGCGGCCTCCGCGTAGCGGTGCGCCTCCCCCCTTTCACCCACTCCCTTTTTTTTTTCATTATCTCCCGCACGGGTACGTGCGTGCGTGTTGCCCCGCATCGTGTGATGCCCCCGCAGCGGCTGGCGGCGTGTGCGTTCTGCACGCCTCTCCGCATCCTCTCTGTCTTTCTTTTGTTGTGCATTTATTTATTTTGTCTTCTTCCCCTCTCCTTCCCTCTCTCTCTCTCTGTGTGTGCGCTTTTTCCTCTCGGTGCCCCCCCCCCCCCCGCGGAGGAGCTTGCACGGGCTGGGGGAAACGTGACACCGCGCCGGCGGCGATGGATGCCCTGTACCAGCTGAGCAAGGCGCAGTTCCACCAGGTGGCGACGCACATCTCCCTCTACCACGAGGACGCCTCCCCGGGCTACCGCAGCCTCGCCGAGGACTGCCTGCGCCTCGCCGGCCTCCGGCCCGGCCGCTACGTCTACTGGAACGTGCCGAACATGGGCGCCTACTTTGGCAAGACGGTGCCGGTGGACGTGCACGGCGGCTACGTGCTCGTCGACGAGGCCGCCGCGGGGCGCACGGCGACGAGCTTCGGGGTGCTGCGCTACGCCTTCCTCTCCGCCGCGGTGCGGGCGAAGGAGGGCGGGCGCTGGCGGTACGACTTCACGACGATGAACGTCACCCTCGGCGCGGGGGTGGCCGCCGGCTTTGCGGCGCTCTCCGTCGGCAGGAAGCGCTGGGGCTGGATGCGGCGACGCCCGGTGGGCAGCCTCGGCGTCGGCCTGCTCGTCTTCCTCGCCGCCACCGTGGCGGCCCGCCAGGGCATCCGCGTCCTCGGCGTCGGGGTGGTGGCGGCGCACAACAGCCACAAGAAGGCCCTCACGCGGCTCAACTGCGCCGACTGCTTCGACGACGTCAACCGCTACACCGCCCAGCAGGTGGCGGAGCTGCAGCGGCAGGAGCTGCCGCGGCAGCCGGGGATGCCGCCGCCGCCGGAGGAATTTGTGCGTCGCTTCCAGCAAGGCACGCAGCTGCAGGTGAAACTGCTGCAGGCGGACATGGACGAGGTGCGGGCGGCGCGGCGGCACATAGGGGCCCACTTCTGCGACGTGCACCGCAGCCTCCGCGAGGACGCGGCGGCGTACGCCGCCACCGCCGTGCTGCCGATCTCCCCCGCAGACGTCCAGCGCGCCAGCGAGCGCGCCCAGGCCGAGGCAGCGGAGTCGCTGGAGGCAAAGTCGGAGTGAGGAGGAACGGAACAAAAAGAAAAAGAAAACAAAAAGGCGAGCGAGGGAAGGAGGAAGGGAAAGTAAGGGAAGAGAGGAGAGCTGGCGGCGACTGTGTGGCGCGAGGGAGGAAGGAAGTCGAGGCAGGAACGTCGTGGACACGCTTCATGTGTGTGTGTGTGTGTGTGCCTGCCGCCTCCATCCTCCGTCGTCCTCCTTCTTCTCTCCGGGTGTCGGCGACCACCGTCACTCCCTTCGCTCCCGCTCTTTCTCTGTGCGTGTGCCCGCGTTGCCCGTGCCGCACGCTAAAAGGAGGGGAGGAACAGAGGCAGCGATAGAGAGCGGGAGAGAGAGATAGACAAGGGGTGGGGGATAGACCTGCGCCGGCATGTCTGCGCAGGGGCAGCGGCAGAGGCGGGTGTTCGACGTCCTTGTGCTTGGGGCCGGCGCGGCAGGCTGCGCCGCGGCACGTGCGATTGCGCTACGACACCCCCATGCGAAGGTTGGCCTCGTGGAGCAGGGCACGCGGCGGCCACTGCCGCTGTTGATGCGGGTGCCGCTGTTGACGCCCCTCATCGCCTCCGCGCGCAGCACCCAGCCGTTTCTGCGCAAGTACGAGGGAACCCCCGAGGCGGGCATCGGTGGGCGGCGGCTGACGCACGTGCGGGGCTGCGGCCTCGGCGGCAGCAGCTGCTGCGGCGACATGCGCTACCTCCGCGGCACGGCGGCCGACTACGCGGCGTGGGGCGACCCGGCCTGGTCGTTTGCGCAGCTGCTGCCGTTCTTCCGTGCACTGGAGTGTAACTCGCGGGGCGGCTCCGCCGCCCACGGCGAGGACGGCCCACTGCACGTCACCGACGCCCCGCGGGCGAGCCTGAGCTCGGAGCTGAACATCCGCTGGTTCGAGGCCTGCGAGGCGCTGGGCCTCCGCGAGACGCCGGACCTCAACGCCGGCGAGGCGGACGGCTTCGCGGCGCTGCAGTCCCTCGTCGCCGCGGGGGCGCGGGTGGACGTCTTCGACGCCCTCCTCGAGCGCCACCGCCACCTGCTGCCGAACCTGACGGTGCTGCCGGAGACGCGGGCGCAGCGGGTGCTGTTCGACGGCGCCCGCGTGACGGGGGTTGAGACCCGCACCGCGGGGCGCGACGCGGCGGTGCTCGCCACCCGCCACCTCGTCGTGTGCCTCGGGGCGCTGGAGTCGCCGGCGCTGCTGCAGCGCAGCGGCGTGGGCGCGGGCGGCCGCGTCTTGGAGCTCCCCGCGGTCGGCAGCAACCTCATCGCGCCCGCCGCCGCCACCCTCGTCTTCCGCGTCGCCGCCGGCGCCAACCTGCACAGCAAGTCCGTGAGCTGGCGCAACGCCGCCTACCTGTGGCGCCAGTGGCGCGAGTACAACGACGCGCGCACCGGCGTCTTCGCCTCCCTCGCGGAGGGCGTCGCCTTCGTGCGCTCGACCCCGGCGGCGGCCGCGCCGGACCTCTCCCTCACCTTCTTCGCGACCCCCAACGTGCGCTGGTGCGGGTGGCGGCCGTTTGACGGGTTTGCGGTGCGGGTGGCGCACCACTACCCGGCGAGCCGCGGGGAGGTCGCCGCGGTGGACGCGGACCGCCTGCGCGTCACCAGCGGCATCTTCGCCGCGCCGCACGACGCGCGGTGCATGGACGAGGGCGTGCGCTGGGTCGGCTCGCTGGTGACGGAGGCCCGCTCCGCCTACCACAGCGACGCCCAGGAGCGGCCCGCGTCGCCGTTCGCCGCCCTCGGCGTGCAGGTGCAGCACCCGCGCTACGCCCTGCACACGCAGCGAGGGACCGCCGCCTTTCTCGCGCAGCACGCCGAGGGCACCGGCGACCTCTTCGGCACCTGCGCGCTGGGGAGCGTCGTCGACGGCGCGCTGCGTGTGCGGGGCGTGGCGGGGCTGCAGGTGGCGGACGCCAGCGTCGTCCCGTCCCCCACCTGCGGCGCCAGCGGCGTCATCGGCGCGGCCATCGGGGCACGCGCGGCGTCGCTGCTGCAGTTGTAGCCTCTTCCCCGCCCCCGCGTGCGTGCGTGCGTGTGTGGCGCCCCGTCTCCCGCATGAACTCTCTTTTTTTTTTCCTTTCCCGCCCGCCCTCTCCCCCCCTCTCGCTGTCTGTGTGTCTGTGTGGCCGTGCTGTGCCGCTGCGCCATCCCCCTTTTTCTTTTTCCTTTCTCTCTCTCTCTCTCTCTCTTTTCCGCCTGCATGCGGCGTGGCCTCGCGGACGCAAGTCAGGCGTGCTGAGGGGAAAATAAAAGGAAAAGAAAAGAGATCAAAAAGAGATAAAAATAAAGGAAAGGGGAAAAAGCGAAAAAAAGGGGGAGCGGCGCCTCTGACAGCAAGCGGCTGAGAGGAAAACACAAAACAAAAAAAGCGCCGGCGAGGTTCGGGGCGCGGCACACGCGTTGGGCGGGGAGTGGCTGGCTGTGGGGGGCCGCGCAGTGCACCTGCAGGGGCGAGGCGGCGGCGGCGGCGGCGAATGTCGCAGCAGTTGGTGCCGTGGGTGGAGAAGTACCGCCCGAAGTCGATGGCGGAGATCGTCGGCAACGCCGACGCCGTGGCGCGGCTGCAGGTCATCGCGCAGGAGGGCAACCTGCCGAACCTGCTGCTCTGCGGCCCGCCGGGGACCGGCAAGACGACGAGTGTCCTCTGCCTCGCCCGCGCGCTGCTCAGCGACCAGGACGGCGGCGGCACGGCGGCGCTCAAGGAGGCCGTGCTGGAGCTCAACGCCAGCGACGACCGCGGGCTGGACGTGGTGCGGGAGAAGATAAAGCTCTTTGCCCAGACGAAGAAGACGCTGCCGCAGAAGTTCAACGCGCGCACGCAGCAGCGGGTCAACCTGCACAAGATTGTGATTCTGGACGAGGCGGACAGCATGACCCCGGCGGCCCAGCAGGCCCTGCGACGCACGATGGAGCTTCACTCCAGCACCACCCGCTTCGCCTTTGCCTGCAACAACAGCCACAAGATCATTGAGCCAATTCAGTCGCGCTGCGCCGTGGTGCGCTTCAAGAAACTCACGCACGCCGACATATTGAAGCGGGTCATGTATATTATTCAGCAGGAGAACGTCACCTACACGGATGACGGGCTGGAGGCGCTGCTGTACCTCGCGGAGGGCGACCTGCGGGCTGCCGTGAACGCCCTGCAGGCGACACACTCCGGCTACGGCATGGTGAACGCGGAGAACGTCTTCAAGGTCTGCGACCAGCCCCACCCGCTGCTCGTGGAGACCATCATGGACGGCTGCGTGCGGAAGCGGGACCTGGCGGCGGCACACAAGGAGATGCAGCGGCTGCTGGGCCGCGGCTACGCGGCCTCGGACGTCATCTCCACCTTTTTTAGGACGGCGCAGAATCCCAAGTTGTTCCGCAGCGAGCAGCAGCAGCTGGCGGTGCTGCGCATCATTGGCGAGACCACCATGCGCATCGCCGAGGGCGTGGGAACCCCGCTGCAGCTTGCCAACATGCTGGCCCGCATCACCATGGTCGCCGTAGACTGAGGCGAGGCTGCTGCGTGCGGGGGGGGGGGGGGCGTCAAGTTATTGCTGCCCACACGGCCGAACTCTCACCTGGGCGCACTATCGCGGTTCCCGCCACATGCATAGAGCAGGACCAGCAGCCTCCTGGGGGGCGGCGGCGGCGGCTCGATGGAGCTGGCGGTCGCAGCAATCACAAAACGCTACTGCTGCTGCTGCGGCTGCTGCTGCCCCCCTCACCCGACGCGTAGTGGGGCTGTCTCCTCCTCTCCCTTTGCTCCTACGCCCCTTTCTTCCTTTTCATTCACCCTCATGTCTTTTTTTTCTTTTCCTTCCTCGTTTTGCTTCTTGGCGTGGCATGCAAATAACTCACGCACATATCTATGCGACTGCGTTGCAAATTTCCTTTTTATATTTGCATAGACGGTCACCTGTGCGGCGCGGCAAAGAGAGAGAGAGAGAGAGAGAGAGAGCGATAGATAGAGAGAGGGAGAGAAAGAAAAGAAGAAAGTGGGGAGGTAGACGCGAGTGATGACGTCGCACGCCGAGCTCCTCGCCGCCTGCGCGGAGTTTCAGGAGAACTTCGCCAGCCTCAACGTCAAGTACAACGCCGCGGCGAAGGAGCTGCAGGGCGCGCGGGCGGCGGGTGAGCGGCTGTCGAAGCAGCTCGAGGCAATGCGGGAGGGCGAGGGCAGGCTGCAGGCGACCGTCCGCGAGCTCAGGCAGGAGCTGCAGGAGGCACGGGCGTACAAAGACCGCTACGTCGCCGCCAACGTCTCCGTGGAGCACCTCAAGGGCCGGCTCGAGAACGCCCGCCGCGCCATGGCGGACAAGATGCTGGAGCACGAGCAGCAGGTGGAGCAGCTGCGGGGGCAGATACGGGACCTGCTGCAGCGGGTGGGCGTCTGCGGCGAGGCCCAGGCGACGCGGCAGCTGAAAAAGCAGGTGGTGGAGCTCGAGGAGCGCTGCGCCGCGCAGAACGGCCACCTCCTCGAGGAGAAGGAGCGCGGCGGACAGCAGCTGCTCGCGGCCCACACCGCCCTGCGTGAGCAGCAGGCCCGCGTCCTCGAGCTCGAGCAGCGTTGCCGCGCATTGGAGGCGGAGATCACGCAGATGCGCTCCGTCGTGCGGCGGTCGGCGGACCTGCAGAACGAGGCCGCGGTCGCCAGGGAGAGGAGCGCCTCCGAGGCGCGGCGGGCCGTCATGCAGGCGGAGTCCGTCGCCGCCGAGCTCCGCGAAACGCAGGCGAAGCTCAGCGAGGCGGAGGCGCAGCACGCGGAGGCGCTGGAGGCGGCGAAGGAGGCGGCCGACGCGGCGGCGGCGCAGCTGCTCGGGCGCATTAGTGAACTCTCCGCCGCCGTCGACGACGCCGTGGCGGCGCGGGCGACGGAGCAGGAGCGCTACGCGGCGCTGCAGCGCTCCGTGCACGAGCGGGTCGAGGCGGTGCGGGCGGAAGCGCGGCTAGAGATGGCGGCGCTGCAGAAGTCCCTCGCCGACGCCCGCGCGGAGGCGCAGCAGTCGGCGTGGCGCGTGGAGCAGACGCAGATGGAGCTGGAGGAGGGCCGGCTCGCGGTGCAGCAGCGGGAGGCGCGGCTGGAGAGCGCCGCGGCGGAGCTGGCGCAGCTGCGCACGCAGCTGGACTCCCTCGCGCAGCGGGAGGCGTGGCTGGCGGCGGAGCGCGACCACCAGAAGGCGCAACTCGCCGCGGCCCGGGCGCAGGCGCAGGACCTGGCGGCGGCGCAGCGGGCCCGCGAGGAGAGCGACCTCGCCGGGGAGCGGCTGCGCATTCAGCTGCAGTTCCTCGAGGAGGAGGCGCAGGAGGCGCGCCGCCTCGCAGAGGCCGCCGAGTCGCGCGTGCAAGACATGGAGGCGGCGGCCGAGCGGCGGTTGCGGGCCCTGCGCGGCGAGCTGAGGGGGGTGAAGAAGCAGGCGCGGGCGGAGCGGGCGAAGGCGGACGCCGTGCGGCGGCGGTTGGTGCAGGCGCTGCTGGAGCGGGAGGCGGACGCCGCCCCACACCCCTCCCCGCAGCCGCAGTTGCCCTACGGGGCTGCCACGACGACTCCGGCGGCGCCGTCGGGGGCTGGCCTAGATGTTCTGGCGCTGCTGCGCGGGCAGACGGAGCAGGCCGCGGCGCTGCACCACCGGCTCGTAGAGCTCTCGCGCTGACGCCGTCACTACCTGGGCCCGAGCACCCAGCCTGGGCCGAGCATAGATGCATCATGTTACATAAATATACACATATGAATGAATGGTTGTTGCTGCGTAGATGCACGCACGTGCAGTAATATATGAATAGAAGGAGGAGGATACACAAACGCATGCACGGAAGCCGCACTTTGCGGAACGTCGGATGCTTACACGCATACACGCACCCTCTTCCCCCCCCCCCCTTCTTCCCCACACTGCCGCCGGTCACGCCTCTGTCTAATATATATCTTTCTGTGTGTGAGTGTGCGTTGGCGGAACTGTTCTCCATCTTGCCTTTTGATTTCTCCCTCTCCCTCTCTCTCCCTGTGTCTGTGTGTGGGTGTGTGGGGGGACGAAGATACGCTAGAAGGGTGGAAACACCCATCACAGGCAAGCGAGCTAAGCGAACTAGAGCACCAAATCCACGGCCACACACACACACACACCGAGACACCGACATATATATAAATAAATAAAGTATGCGGCACTGCAGTGGTCTACCGCAGAAGGCGAAGGCGCTCCGGGCGCTGCTGCGTTCGAAGGAGCTGAGTTTCCTGATGGAGGCGCACAACGGCCTCTCCGCCCGCATTGTGGAGGAGGCGGGCTTCAAGGCGATTTGGGGCTCCGGCCTCTCCATCTCGGCTCAGATGGGGCTGCGGGACAACAACGAGGCGAGCTGGACGCAGGTGTGCGACGTGGCGGAGCAGATGAGCGACGCGACGGCGATCCCCATCCTCCTCGACGCCGACACCGGCTACGGCAACTTCAATAACGCCCGGCTGCTCGTGCGAAAGCTGGAGAAGATCGGCGTGGCCGGCGCCTGCATCGAGGACAAGCTCTTCCCCAAGACGAATAGTCTGCTGGACGAGCGCGGGGCCCAGCCGCTCGCGGACGTGCGGGAGTTCGCGCTGAAGGTGCGGGCGATGAAAGACACGCAGACGGACGAGAACTTCTGCGTCGTGGCCCGCGTCGAGTCGTTCATCGCCGGCTGGCCGCTGGAGGAGGCGCTGAAGCGGGCCACGGCGTACGCCGAGGCGGGCGCCGACGCCGTGCTCATCCACAGCAAGAAGAAGGACGCCGCCGAGATCGACGCCTTCATGGCCCACTGGGGCGAGAAGGCGCCGGTGATCATCGTGCCCACCTCCTACGCCGGCGTGCCCTGCGCCCACTTCCGCGAGATCGGCGTCAGCAGCGTCATCTGGGCCAACCACAACATGCGGGCGTGCATCGCCGCGATGCAGGCCACCTCGCGCGCGATCCTCGAGCAGGAGTCGGTGCTGCCGCTGGAGAAGAGCATCGCGCCGGTGAAGGAGGTCTTCCGGCTGCAGCGCCTCCCCGAGTACCTCGACTCGGAGGAGGCCTACCTGCCAAAGCAGTAGCAGCCCCCGCAGCGGCGTTTTCTCGGGTGTGTTTTTTTCTTTTCCTTTTTTTCTTTTTTTCATGTTGCGGCGTGCGTCAGGGGTGGTGGAGGGTTGACGGCGCCCCGCCGGCCCCCTCCCCCCCTCCTCCCGCTTCCATCGCCACCACAAGTCAAAAACGTTGTAGTGAAGGGCGTGTAGTGCACGGCGGGCCCGCGGGAGCGGGCGGGAGAGGCCGGGGGGCGAAAGAGCGAGGCAAATAGAGCGGGAGAGCGGGCGGGGGAGGGACGGTGTGCGTGTGCGCGTGCGTGTGCGTGGGTCCGGGCGCCGCTCACGGCGCCTCGCTGGGAGGCGGGAGGCGGCGGCGGCGGGGGCGGCGGCCCGGCGGCTGCATGCGCGGCGAGCCCTCCTCCTCTTCCTCCTCCTCCTCCCAGTCCCCTTCCTCCTCTCCAACAAACTTACAAACTAATCAGTTAAAGAAAAGCAAAGTTGCTGCGTCCTGCCACCTCACGTTTTCTCCTTCGATGTATTCCATGCGTGTGTGTGTGTCTGTGGGCGTGTTATGCCTGACCTCCTCTTTTTCTCCCCACTTTTTTGCCCTCGCGTGTCCCGCGCCTCCGGCCTGTTGCGGCCTCCCGGCGTTTCCTGCCGCCGCCGCCGCCGCCGCCGCCGCCACCGCGAGAGTCAAAGCAAACGCAAGAGAGCAAACATTTGTGCAACCAGCAAACGACACACGAAATACAAAAACACACACACACACACACACACACAGACACACAGGCACAGACACACGCATTCCCCACACTGACACGTAGAGAGCGCGGGGGAACGAGAAGCGAAGCAGGAGACGAGAGAGAAAGAAAGAGAGAGAGAGAGAGAGCTAAATCTTCTCTGCGTGTGTGCGGCAAGCCGAGGTTATTTGACGGCCAGCAACCACATCTATAGGTAGACGTGTAAATATATATATATACACACACACAGACGCATCGCATCGCTTGAGGCATGGCGGAGGCGGTCAAGTGGCACAACGCGGCCATTCAGGACGAGCTCGTGCCAAAGAAGAGCCCGTCGGAGTTTAAGCTGCCGGAGGGGGCGAAGGAGCTCGTCTTCATGGCGAAGCTCACCGAGGAGGCGGAGCGCTACGACGAGATGGTGCTCTGCATGCGCAAGCTGGTGAAGCTGAACAGCGAGCTGGACACGGAGGAGCGCAACCTCCTCTCCATGGCGTACAAGAACGTCATCGGCTCGCGCCGCAACGCCTGGCGCATCATCACCTCCATCGAGAGCCGCGAGGGGGCGCGGGAGAAGAGCGAGAACCTGCAGCTCATCACCGCGCTGCGCCGCGAGTTCGAGGCGGAGCTCGCCGCGATCTGCGACGACCTGCTCGCGCTGCTCGACACCTACCTCATCCCCGCCTCGCAGGGCGGCGAGGTGAAGGTCTTCTACCTCAAGATGAAGGGCGACTACCACCGCTACTACGCCGAGATCGCGCCGGAGGCGGGGCAGCGGCAGGCCGCCCTCGACGCCTACGCGAAGGCGACGGAGGTGGCGAACTCGTCGCTCGCGCCGACGCACCCGATCCGCCTCGGCCTCGCGCTGAACTTCTCCGTCTTCTACTACGAGATCATGAAGGAGCACGAGAAGGGCTTCCAGCTGGCGCGCCAGGCGTACGACGAGGCCGTCACGGAGCTCGAGACCCTCGACGACGAGGCGTACCGCGAGTCGAACCTCATCGTGCGGCTGCTGCGCGACAACCTCAACCTCTGGACGGACGAGCAGCCGGCGAGCTGAGCGGGCGGCTGCGGGGCGGCTGCGGGGGGGCTGAAGAGGGAGGGGAGAAGAGGGGAGGGGAGGGGAGAAAAGAAAAGGATCGAAGGAAGCGAAGAAAAAGCGACGGCAAACGAAAATAAGACAACAACACAAACAAAAACACAAAACAACAACAAAAAACAACAACAACAGAAAACTCCTCCCCCTCCAAAAGAAAAAAAAATATGTGAAGTGGGGGCGGGGGCCGAGGGGCAACGAAAAGGAGGGCATTGAAGCGGAAGAAGAAGAAGAAGAAGAGGCGGAAACGGCACGCACACGCAGAAGATGAAGTCAAACGACGTGAGAAGTGAAGGGGGGGGGGAAAAAAAAAACGAAGAAAGAGGGAAAAAGAAAAGGAAGAGGGGGAAAAAACAAAAACAAAAACGAAGGGATGAAGCCGAAAACAAAAAAAAGTGAGGAGGGGAAAAAAAGAAAGAAACAACAACTGTAACATAAAACAACGAGAGGGGAAAGGGGGACGGGGAGGTCGTGCACGCACGCAAAGTGCGGGAGGATGCGGTGGGGGCAAAGAAGCACCACGGCGGGCACCGCCAAAGTAGACGAGAAGGGGGGAGGCGGGAAGACACGGCGCAAGGAAACGGCAACAAGGAATGAAGGAAGGAGGAAAAATGCCAAGGTGCGGGGAAGTGTGGCGGAATTGACGGGATGCCTTATAAAAAAAAAAGATACAGGGACATAGACCGCGAGGCGGGGGAGGGTGAGAGCAGGCTACTGCGCGAGGTGTGCGTTCGACGCTCTCCGGCGGCGGCGCACAGCTGCCCGCGGCAGTATTGTTATGCATAATGTAAGTGTGTATGCGTCTGTGCCACGTGCCTGGGTGGCGCGGGCCGGCCGGCAGGCTGGGCGTGCCATTGCCCCGGCCTTCGTTCTTCTCTGTGAGTGCGCTAGGGACCGGATAAATGGGTGTGTGTATGGAGAGAGACGAGGCGGCAAAAGAGGTGGGAGGAGCAAAAGATTGCGGGGCAAAGGCGGCAACGCAGCGGACGCTGCGTCCGGTGAAAGTTAGGGCGGCAGGAGGAGGCGAGCGAAGCCAAATTGTGTGTGGATTGGCGCGGCGGGAGCCGCATTTTGCAGGGAACGGGCTTCGGGAGAGAAGTTCCCCCTTTTCCTCCTCCCCGTCAATGTACGGCGCCAACGCCGCTGCCACTTCTGCTGCTTGCCGCTCCGCTCCGGCCTGCAGCCCATTTCTCCAACCCGCTCACTCCCCCATGGGTGTGCGTGTGTTTTTTTTGTTTTTTTTTTCCCCCCGTTTCGCTTCGTGTCCCCCTCCGCCCCAGTTGTGTTTTGCGTGCTTTTTTTTTTTTAGCCTCCCACCCCTCAAATTTCCCACCCTCCTCTTTTTTTTTGTTCTTTTGTTTTGCTTTGTTTTGTTTTTTTTTGCCTCCGTGCGGCGGAGGCTGCTGCGCTGGTTCACCGTCTTTCTCACCCTCACTCACTCACTCACTCACCCCCCGCTTCCTCACCCACGCCCCGTTTCTCTGTTCACGTGTGTGCGTGTCTGTGTGTACGTCGCTTTTTCTGCTGCCTGCCCCCTGTTGCCTTTGCGTCGTTGGTGGTCTCGCCGTGCTGGCGCGCCGCAGCGCCCCCGCATTCGGCCGAAGCACAGAGCCGAGAAGAGGAGGAGCGGGGCGGAGGTGGTAAAAGAAAGGGGCGCGGGGGGAGGTTGAGGGGCCCGCGGGCGATGCCGACGTGGCTGAACGTGGCTGAGAAGCCGAGCGTGGCGAAGGAGCTGGCGGCGGTGCTCTCGAACGGCGCCTGCAGGACCGGCCAGTCCCTCTCCCGCTTCAACCCCCTCTTCGAGTTTGAGTTGGACGGGAACCAGATGCTCTGCACCTCCGTGGCGGGGCACCTGATGAACGACGAGCTGCCGCCGGAGACGCGGAGCTGGCAGCACTACCCGCTCGTCAACCTCTTCACCGCCAGCATCACGAAGCACGTGAAGCCGGAGATGGAGCCGGTGAAGCGGAACCTGGAGGCGCTCGGCAGCCGCGCCGCCGTGCTCGTGCTCTGGATGGACTGCGACCGCGAGGGGGAGAACATCTGCTTCGAGGTGATGCAGGTGGTGCGGGCGGTCAACCGGGGCATCCGCGTCTGCCGGGCGCGTTTCTCCGCCCTGACGAAGCGGGACCTCTTCCTCGCGGTGCGCAACCTGCAGGCCCCGAACAAGGCCCTCTCCGACGCGGTGGAGGCGCGGCAGGAGATCGACCTCCGCATCGGCGCCGTCTTCTCCCGCTTTCAGACCATCAAATTCCGCGACGCGTTTAGCGGGATGCCGCGGGTGCTCAGCTTTGGGCCGTGCCAGATTCCCACCCTCGGCTTTGTCGTCCGCCGCCACTGGGAGCGGCGCGGGTTTGTGGCGGAGGACTACTTCACGCTGCTGCTGCGCCACGGGCAGACCGTCTTTCACAGCTGCCGCGGCGCCCTCTTCGACCAGGTCGCCGCCACCCTCGTGCTGGAGACGATGCTGGAGGCCGCCGACGCCGACGCCGACGCCGCGGCGGAGGTTGTCGACGTTGTGCGACGCCCCACCCGCCGACGCCCGCCGGCGCCGCTCGCCACCGTCGCGATGCAGAAGTTGGCCGCCACCCACTTGCACATTTCCTCCGAGCAGTGCATGACCTGGGCGGAGTCGCTGTACCAGGAGGGCTTCATCTCCTACCCCCGCACAGAGACTGACTCCTTCGCCTTCACCGAGGCGGAGCTGCGCGAGATCGCGGCGCTGCAGCGCGGCAACCCGGTGGTGGCGGACTACGTCGCCGCCATGCTGGAGAACCCCGCGGAGCGGTTTCGTCGACCCCTCAGCGGCGGCCACGACGACAAGGCCCACCCGCCCATCTACCCCACCAAGCTGCTGCGGGCCGAACACGACAGCAGAGCCCCGCTCTACACCCTCATTGTCCGCCACTTTCTCGCCTGCGTCTCGCCCGACGCGGTGGCGGCCACAACCGCCGTCACGGCGGTATTTGGGGGCGAGAAGTTCACCACCGCCGGCACGGCGATCCTGGAGAAGGGCTGGCTCGACGTCTACCCCTACGAACGCTGGCACAGCACCTGTCTCCCGGCCTACGAGAAGGGTGAGCGCTTTGCCCCGACGGACGTCAGCCTGGAGCAGTACCGCACCGCGCCCCCGCCGCACCTCACGGAGACGGCGCTCATTGCCCTCATGGATGAGCACGGCATCGGCACCGACGCCACAATCGCGCAGCACATCAAAACCGTCCTTGACCGGGGATACGTGAAGCGGGAGGGGGCGTTTTTGGTTCCCACCGCGTTGGGCGTCGCCCTTGCCTCGGCGTATGAGGTAATTGGGTTACTGAGCCTCCTGCAGCCGCAGCTGCGGGCGCAGATGGAGCTGGCCATGTCCGACATTGTCTCTGGGAAGGCCAGCAAGAACCAGGTCGTCGACGCCGCCGTGCAGCTCTACAGCGAGGTCTTCCAGAAGGTCTCACTGGGAAGTAGGGAGATGTATGAGGAGCTGTGCTGCCATCTCTCTCCGGCGGCGCCGCAGGTGTCGGCCGCCGCCTACGGCACAGGCCGCGTGGTGCAGCCTCGCCTGGTGCCGTGCGGCGTGTGCCACAACCCGATGGACCTCGTCGAGCAAACCGAGGGGGAGCGGGAGGCGTGGTGCGTGCGGTGCAGCACGTGTTGCAAGGACCACCGCGTTCCAAATGGGCGCCTGAATCAGTTGACTTCCTGTGGCCAGACCTGCGTGCTGTGCGGCTTTGGCGTCCTTGAGGTGCGGAACACGGAGAAGCAGACCTCCTACACGGTGTGCCCACACTGCTTCAGCTCGCCTCCCCCCGGCACCGACATGGAGGCGTTCACCGGCTTTCGCTGTTTTCAGTGCCTCGCCGACTGTCCGCTGGCGAAGGGGCTGGAGAACGTGGCCATCGCCCGGTGTGCCTCGTGCGGGGAGCACGACGTCCGCCTCTGCACGGGGGCGCGGGGAACCTTCTTGAGCTGCCGTGGCTTTCCCGCCTGCACCTACTCCGTGACCCTCCCGTGGGCGCGGCGCGTCCGCCCGAACCCGGCGATGCGCTGCGCGTCGTGCCAGTCCGTGATGCTTCAGTTTGAGTTCGGTGGGATGCCGACGGTCCCTGGGCTGGAGGAGGGCGAGTGCGTCTGCGTCTTCTGCGACGGCCGCCTGCAGGAGTACGTCTCGGTGAAGGGGGGCGGCCCACGCAGGAGCGACCACGCGAGCCCGCAGCAACAGCAACAGCAGCAGCCGCAGCCGCAGCCGGCGCCGTACACGCTGCCGGCGCTGGGAGGCGTGGGGGCCTCCCGCCGCAGAGCACCCGCGAAGGGGCAGGACGCGGGCACGTTGTGCGGCTGCGGGGCGCCGGCGCGGCAGTTCGTGTCGAGGAAGGAGGTCTCCAAGGGGAAACGGTTTCTGACGTGTGCGAGTAAAAAGTGTTCGTTTTTCCAGTGGATCGATTGAGTCCCGCGGCTGCACAGAAATATTCACTTGACCGCCACCCGTTTTTTTTTTGTCTGGGGTTGGGGGTGGGGGAGCGGTGTTGCTGGTTGGATGGTTGGCTGATCGTTGCGCCCAGCTGCATCTGCTTGCCTTTCTCTTTCTCTTTCCCTCTCGCTCTTCTCCGTGGCAGCAAACTTGCGGGCTTGACTTAGTGAGGGTCTCTCTCGCTGTGTGCGACTGTCGGTTGAATAAAGTGGGGAGGGGGACGAGAGCGAACAAAAGGGCGGGGAGGAGGGCGCAAGCAGCCGTAAGCATGAGGGCTACCAAAACCCTCACGTGCAGCAACTGCGCGGCGACGGATCACCTCCGCAGGGACTGCCCACTGGTGACGTGCCGGGCCTGCGGGCGGCTCGGGCACTTCAAGGAGGACTGCCCGAGGGAAAACAAGCGGGCGCGGCTGGAGGAGGACGGCGAGGTCTCTGTTTGCCGCACCTGCGGATCCTCGCGTCACGTGCAGGCCAGCTGTCCCCTGCGCTCGCAGTCTATAGAGTGTTTCCAGTGCCACCAGCGGGGCCACATGGTGCCGACCTGCCCGCAGACGCGTTGCTTTAACTGTGGCAGCTACGGCCACAGCTCGCAGCTCTGCTACAGCCGGCCGCTGTGCTTCCACTGCTCGTTAGCCGGACACCGCTCCACGGACTGCCCCATGAAGCCAAAGGGCCGGGTTTGCTACCGCTGCAAGGAGCCTGGGCACGAGATGGCGGACTGCACCCACATCGCGCTGTGCCACATGTGCAACCAGGCCGGCCACCTCATCGCCCAGTGCCCGGAGGCCCTCTGCAGCCTCTGCCACGAGCGCGGCCACATTGCGAGCGCCTGCGCCAAGGTGCGGTGCCTCAACTGCAACGGCCCCCACTCCACGGAGAGCTGCGGGCAACCGGCGTCGGGGGCGAAGGAGCCGGCGGACGGCGTCTCGGCAGAGGAGGCCTCCGTCACCGATAGCGAGGGCGAGCACGAAAAGCGTCCACACTCGAACACCCGCCCCACCACCGCCGCCACGGAGGACGTCGTTGTGCCTGCCTTTCAGCCGAGCGACGTAAAGCGCGAGGGGCGGGTGGCCGTCGTCATCGACGGGAGCTACTTTGAGCGCCTTCTCAAGGGCCACGAACGCCGCGACGAGGCACACTACAAGCGCACCGTGGATGCCCTGCGCTACACGCTGGACTTCATTGGGGAGGTGTTTCGGATGGACCCAGTCGCGTACTGGTTCGACACCGACCCCGCCGCCATGACGGAGTACATTGAGCACTCCATGCCGCTGCCGCACCGGGAAAAGGCGTTTCGCGAGTGCCACCTCCGCAAGCGACTGCTTCTGGACGAGATGAGCGGCGGCCGGCGCCTGGGCAACGTCGTCTCCCGTCTGATTGGGCGCATGAAGCAGCAGAAGGGGTACACGCGCGACGGGCCGCGGTACGTGTGGGTGCAGGCCGGCGTCGACGTCGCCATGACCACCTGCATCATCGAGACTTTCCTCCACCAGCAGTTCCAGCAGGTGGTGCTGCTCTGCGGCGACGCCGACCTCTACCCCGCCATCCAGTACTGCCACAGCCAGCGGCGCAGCTCCCCCGCCCTGGCGCGGGCGAACCCGGTGCGGGTGTGCGGCACCTCCACCTCCATCTCCAAGCTGTACGGCCGAGACCAGGACCTCAGCGACTTTCTCCCTCGCATCGCATTGGATGCCCCCTCCCACGCGGAGAAGGGACGGGAGGTGGCGTTTCCAACGCACGTGGCTTTTTTGTAGTTGGAGGGAGGGAGAGAGGGGGGGGAGGAGAGGCGGGGCGACGCACCTCGCGCCGCGCTCCCCCTCTAAGCTCTGGCTCTTCTGCTTTTTTTTATTTTCTTTTTTGACGTAATTATTTTTCCGTGCAGGGTGCAGAGTGGTCTCGGGCTGAGAAGTAATCATGAGCAGGAGTCAAGTTCAACAAGCAAGATGCGTCTCTGTTTGTTCGCGTGTGTGTGCGTGTGTGCGTGTGTGTGTGTGTGAGCGTGTGCGTGGGTGTGACGAGCGGGAGAAACGCGTTTATGCAAGCGGGAATTGCCGACCGTGTTTCTTCACGCGCTCGGAAGCCGTTGAAGTGGAGGAGCTGCCTTCGCCACCCTTTTTTTTTTATGTTTCTTTTTTTCCCCCCCCTCCTTTTCACGCCTTTCTTATCTCTTTTGCGTTGCACGCACGCACGCGGGCGCTCGCTGCCTCCGCGCCTTCCTTCCTTCCTTTTTGTTCCTCCTTCCCCTTCCCTTCGTTACCCCGCCTTTTACTCTCCCCCACTCCCCCCACACGCAATGGGTAGCCGGCGGATGAGTAGGCGCACGAGCCACGGCGAGCCGGCGGCGCAGGCCGGCGTCCCGGTGACGTACTACGCGACCTGCCGGCGCATCGCGTACCTCGCCTCGGTCGGGATGCCGCAGGCGACGCCCTACACGCCGCCCGCGCGGCCGCAGGCCCTGACGCTGCCGGAGCCGCAGCAGACGCCGCGGGCGGTGCTGCCGCCGCCGCCCTCCACGCCCTCGCCGGCGGCACTCACCACGCCGTCGCGGCAGACGGTGTCCTGCTCGCGGACCACCACCCCGCGGACCACCACCCCGCGGGCCACCGGCCGCCGCAAGCGCGAGGTGGAAATGTTTGACATGGACGCCGCCTACGCCGCGTTCATTCAGCGCCTGGAGCGGCAGTTGGACGCGGAGGACGCGAAGAGCGCCTAACGGCCACGCCTGTGAGAGCGCAGCGGCACGCCGCACTCGATGCCCCCTCCTCACTCCTTCCTCCCCCCATCTCCCTCTCGTTTGCTCGTGCGGGGGGCGGCGCGCTGGGCCGCAGACACATTTCTGCTGCGCATGTAAAATACCACCACCACCACCACCACGACGGAGACGACGGTCACTGATTGGCCGCCTCGGCGACGCGCGGAGACGCGGCGCTTGTGCCCCACGCAAGAGGGGAGAGGGGCGCGATGAGGGAAGCGGACCTTTTGTTTGTTTGTCTTGTCTTCCCTTTTTTGTTTGCCTTCGCCACACTCCGCCGGTGCCGCCGAGAGCCGCAACACCAAAAAAGCAAAAAAAACAAAAAACACAGTCGTCGGCGTTGGACGTGAGGGGAGTGCGAAACAGCCAGTATCGTTTACTGCTTTATTATTATTACTTTTTTTGGGGGGGGGGGTGAAGCGCGCGCAAGAGCGAGAGGCACAAAACGAGGGCGCCATGGCCGCAGCGGCGGGGGAGGCGGAGGCGGAGGAGGAGTGCCCGGAGCTCATCAGCGCGAGGGTCCCGGTGACGATCCTGACGGGGTTTCTCGGCAGCGGCAAGACGACGCTGCTCCACCACGTGCTCGCCACGGAGCACCACCTCCGCATCGCCGTCATTGTGAACGAGTTCGAGTTCGGCAGGGCGATCGAGAAGGGGCTGACGCTGAAGAGCTCGCAGAAGCCGGACGACGAGTGGCTGGAGCTCAACAACGGCTGCATGTGCTGCACCGCCCAGTCGCAGACGGTGCAGGCGCTGGAGCGCCTCATGGCGCGCAAAGGGACCTTTGACCTCGTGCTGGTGGAGACCGCCGGCCTCGCCGACCCGGGCCCGGTGGCCGCGATGTTCTGGCAGGACGAGGCCGTCTGCGGCTCGCTCTTCCTCTCCGGCATCCTCACGCTGGTGGACGCGAAGAACGTCGGCAGGTACCTGCGCGACCCGCAGCTCGCCGGGGAGGCGGCGCGGCAGATCCTCATGGCGGACCGCGTCGTGCTCAACAAGTGCGACATCGCCACCGCGGCGGAGCAGCGCGCGGCGCTGGCGGAGGTGCGGCGCGTCAACCCGGTGGCGCCGGTGGTGCACGCCTCCCACGCCCGGCTGGAGAACCTGCGGGAGCTCCTCTTCCTGAACACCACGCGGCGGCTCACGGAGCTGGAGCACCTCCACCCCACCGGCGCCCCCGCCGGCGTCACCGCCGTCTCCTTGGAGTTCTTTGAGCAGCCGCGCCTTCTGGCGCTGCGCGACCCCGGCGACGTGGACGCGATCTGCCGGGAGCTGCTGTACAAGGACCACGACCCCCCGTTTGAGGTGCTGCGCTGCAAGGCCGCGCTGTGGGTGCGGCGGGCGGGGCACTACTCCCTTCTGCAGCTGCAGACCATCGGCGAGCTCTTTGACGCCACCCCGATGGAGGGGCAGACCGTCCCGCTGGGCTGCTCCCGCGTGCTCATCCTGGGCAAAGAGCTGGACAGGGAGGTCTTGCGGAACATTTTCCTGCAGTACCTGCGCTGCGATGACGCGGCGCCGTAACGCCGCACTGCGGGGAGGGGGGGGGGAAAGAGAGCCCAACATCGGCCCACACACACACACACACACACACACACACACACACACACACACACACACACACACACACACACACACACACAC